TTTTTGTTGGGTTTTTTTTTGTGTTTTCTCTCTCTGTTTGGTCGGTGCGTATGTGTCTCGATTGCAAAAGCAGAGTTGTTTCTGTCGCTTCTTTTTTGTTTGTTGTGTTTTTTTTTTTTTACTTACGTCTCCTCGCAGTCCTGCCGTGCGTACACCAGCCCCCCATCCACCCTCTTTGCTTTGATGTCTACCTTCTCTCGCCTCGTCTTCCTCTCCTTCGGATTCCCCTCTTTGGCGCACCACGCGGTAACTGACTTCTGCCCCGCAGCCACACATCACACAAACGTCTCTGCATACATATACCCGCCTGTGCGTGTGCGTGTGCGTGTGCGTGTGTTGCGTGTGTATATCCAGTTAGTTTACATGAGTTTACATTGATATACTTCGCTAATTGTAAGTATATATATATATATAAGGTATGTGTGTGCACAACACGCAGTTGTGGCTTGTGAGCTTACGGATGCTGCCGGGCGCCACGCAGGGGCTGCGGAGCTGCCCGGGCGCAGGCACACGCACTGCGACACCCCAAATGCGCCTGCGCGGCGCCCGTGTCCCCCCCCGCACCGCCGCTTCATCTTCCCCCACACGCGCCTCCCACGCAGTCGCACGAGCCGCGCGACGATGAAAAGAGGCGGAACAGCGAAGGCACGCGGGCGAGCAGCCCGGCGGAGGTGGTGGTGAGCAGCAGTGGGAGGGATGCAGAAGAGAAAAAAAAACAAGCAAACAAGACAAAAAAAAAACAGGGGAAAAAAAACACGGACTCGTTCTTGTTTTTGCTTTTTCTTTTCTCTTCTTTGCTTTTCTTCCTCCCCATCGCACATCAAACGCATCACTGCGCGCCCACTTCACCAGAGACCTTGCGGCGGTGGCCGTCCTCGATGGAGGCGGTGTGGCCCCGCCCCGGCGCCCCGAGCAGCATCCGGACGTAGTCCACGTTGTCGTACTTGAGGCCGAGCTTGTCCAGCTCGTGGCGCGTCTGTCGCACCTTCCCCTCCGCCGCCTCCACGGCGCACTGCTCGTCGTCGGTGAAGCGGCGGTACTTCTCGAGAAACGCCTCCTCGTGGTTGATGCCAATCGTGCGGGCCTGGACGTGCGGGTGGGCGACGGTGGCCATCAGCGGGCTTTCGGCGCCTGTGCGCAGCTTCATCGCGTTCGTCAGCGGCGGCGCGTTGGCGAAGCCCGACGTCTCCACGAGGTCGGTGGCCACCACCACCGGCTGCCCGTCCGTGCCGCGGGCGGGCGCCGGCGTCGTCGACATCGGGCTCACGTCGGTCTCCTCGGGGAACGTCGGTGCCGCCTGGGCGGCGCCGCGCGGTTGCGGTTTGTCCCTCAGCTGCAGCGTCTCCGCAGGGCCCTCCAGCTCCAGCCGCTGCGGCTTCACCGTGCGGTTGTGTGAGATGACGTGCTGCAGGATGGGCTCCACCTCGCCGCGGCGCTCGCGCTGGAGGGCCTCCACAAGGTTGATGTACGCCTCCGCCTCCTCCATCTGCGCCTGCGACTCCTGCAGCTCCTTGTTGTACTTCTCGAGGTGCGGGTCCAGCGTCTCCGCCGCCCGCTCCACGTCGAGCTTCTTCGACCGCTGCAGCACCTTCAGCCGGTCCGCGTGGACCTGGCGGGTGGCACGGCCCTCCTCCACCGCGTACTCAAACATCTCGTAGCGGCGGACGTACTCCTGGGCCTCGCGGTTGTAGAGAAGCTGATCCGCCTCCTCCGCGTCGTTCAGCTTCTTGAGCAGCTTCGGCACATACGCCTCCACGTACGTCTCGTACACCTCCGCCACACTGGACCAGCGCCAAAGTGTGTCGTCGCAGCTGCGCAGGAGCTCGTAGTACTGCTGCTGCGCCTTCATCAGCTCCAGCGCCAGGCCCATGTCATACGCCCGTTGGTCGCGGAGTCGCATTTGCTTCTGCACAAACTCATCCTTTTCATCCGAAATGTTTACCAGTTTCCGCATAGTCTGCAGGAGCAACTCCCAGAGGTCCCTTTCGTCGTCCTCCAGCTTGCGAAATTCCTTGCGGGCCTCCTTGTTGGCGTCGGCATCCACCTTGGTGAGGTACTTGATGTGGTCCTCCGTGTTTTGCGTGTCGCTGCGGAGACTCTCCATGTCCTTCTTCACCAGCGGCAGGTCCCGCTCAATGCGCCCCTTCAGCAACTCCACGCTGCGACGCGCGTCCGCGATGATTGCATCTATGAGCGGCTTCATCTCACGCACGTCATTGGAGTGGAGCTGCACGAGCTCCAGCCGAGCCTTGTTCATCAGCAGCAGGTCGTTGCTGAGGTCCACCTGCGAGGTGAGGCAGTTCAGCGCCTCCCCTGGAAGCTCCTCGTCGATGGCGCGTTCCTTCTGCTCCTTTGCCTCCATCACCCGCCGCTCCAGTCGCTCGAGGGGCTGGTCACTTTTCCGCAGCTCCTTCATGGCGTACTCGGCGGGGTTGTAGTGAAACTTCTCATGCAGGGAGACGGCCGCCTTGCTCAGCCACACCGGACCCCGCGGGGCACCGCCCACCGCCTCACCGGGCTCATCCCGCAGCGCCAGGGAGGCGAGGGTCTCCAGCTCCTGCACGTATTGCTCCAGCGGCGCCAAGAAGTGCTTGGCGTTCAAGAGCGTGTCGAGGGTGCGGCGAATACGCTCCGTCTGCAGCGCCGGGCTGTTCTGAATTTCGGTCAGCATCTCCGGCGTCGAGCCCAGCTTGAAGTCCTTCACCAGCTGCTCCAGCGTCACCGGCAGCACGTCGGTGGGGCGGTAGCCCTGAAAGTAGTTCATCATCGCGTCCGCCGTCATCGAGCTGGACGTCGCACTCTGGGCGGGGTAGACGTTGAGGTAGTTTTCGAGGTCCCGCACCTTGCGGTGCCACGTCTTAAACAGCTCCTCCACCGCGTTGCTCAGCTGTGCGTTGAGGGCGGCCTGCTGGGAGGTGTGGTAGTCCTTCTCCTTGAAGGAGAACGGCGTGGCGGACTCCAGCGTGGCCGGCCGCCACCTCGGCACCCCGCGCGACGACTGCGGCCTGCCACTCGTGGGCGGCCTGGAGTGAATTCGCCGCGCCGAGTCCGCCGCCGCCTGGGCGTCGAGGCGGAGGGAGCGCGGCACATCGATGCCGACGGCGCTGTTCAGAATGCGCAGCGCCTCCACCGGCGGGAGCAGCGGCTTCGACAAGTAGCCGCCGTGGCCCACCGCCGTCGCGTACGGTCGTCGATCGGGGTACATCTGGCAGCTGCGGACACACGGGCAAAAGAAACACACACACGCACACTCACACCAACTGGAGACCAAACCAAGTGCACAAAGTCGTTCGCCTCTGCCTTCTCCTTTAGTTTTGTCTTTGTTCTTGTTTTTGTTGCTGTTGTTGTTGTTGTTTTTCTCCTTCTTGGTTCCTCAGCTCTCGCTCTTTGCCTTAGGAAGGGACGCGACGCTTTTTTCGTCTTTTATTTTCCTTTTCCTTTTCTTTTTTCCATGTGGAGCAAAGTGAAGAATGAGGGGCAGGCGAGAGTTGCAGGCGCATGACGAGGCTGACAGGCGCCCCGGAACGCTGGCAGTAATAACAGAAAAGTGTTTTTTGTGTGTGTGTGNGTTTTTTTTTCACTGCACGAATGCCGCGGCAGCCGCAGAAAACACTGTACATTTTACATCTCCCCGCACGCACAGAGGGAGAGAGCCGCCCCAGGCGCCACCTGTTCCTCACGCCTGATCCGCCCCACGCTTTGCGGCGTTCTTCCTCGCATCCTCCTCCAGCTTCTTGACGACGGTGTGCCCCAGCCGCGTCCCCTCCAGGTCTAACACCACGATGTTGGCGTTCCCCCGCAGCAGCCGCGTGAAGAAGCGCGTCGCGGGGAGCGTAATCTTGCTGTTATTGCGGAGGTACACCTCCCGCACGCTCTTGTTGCCGGCGAGCACCTCGCAGAGGTTCTCGGCGTCCACGTTGTCGAGTGACATGTCGTTGAAGTACACCGCCCGCAGCCGTGGGAGGTGCTCCAAGAGACCCAGCAGCGCGACAAACCCGCCTCGGCCCAAGTAGTTGGAGCTGAGGTCCAACTCGCGCACGCCGTTGGTGAAACGCGGATCGGTCGGCAGCTTCTTCAGCAGGTAGCTGTTCGGCTTGCACCGCTGCATGTCGCACGAGCGCACGTAGATGTCGTGCAGGGAGGGTCCAAAGTACACGTCCGCCTCGTTGTCCTTGAGCACCTCGCGAAGCTGCTGCTGGTGGCGCTGCTCCTCGTCCCTGTCCTCCTCCTGCTGCTGCTGCTGCTGCAGGTTCGGCTGTGACGTCTCCGCCGCGCCGCCCTCCGCGCCGTCTTGGGCGGCGGAAGTAGTGCTGGAGGGCCCCACGGCCAGCCGCTCCACCGTCGTCGTCGCCGACGACGGGCAAAGCGTCTCGCCCTCCGCCACCTCCGTGAGCATCGGCGAGGAGGGTTCCTGGGAGCCGTGCGGCGCTGGCGCCTGCGCGAGCGACGCCGCCGCCGTCGCCCGCTCCGCGCCCAACTCCACGCTTTCGTTCGGGGAGGCGGCGACGGCGGCGTTGGGGCGCCGCGGCGGGGAGCCCCCCGCCTCCCCGTCGACGAAGGAGTCGTCCGGGGCCATCCCCTGCAGGTGGGCAATGCTGGTGACGCTGATGTCCGAGGCGCTGTGATAGGAGAGCCCAAGGATCGACGTGGACGCCCCTTCCTCGTCGTTGGACGTCTCCTCGTCCTCCTCGTAGACGAGATCACTGAACTTGCGCTCCCCGCCGCTCTCGCTGCCGCGGAAGACGACCATCTGGCTGCTGTTTGACCCCACCGAGTGTTGCCCGCTCACGCTGTCGTTCACGGTTGAGTGCGGGGAGTGCATCTGCCTGCGGTAGTGCGGGGAGAGGCGCCGCTTGTGCTGGCGGTGGCGCTTCTCCAGCCCTCCATCCTCCGCCGGCACGGGAATCGCGACGGCCCCCTCGACCCGACCGTCGCTTGACTCCCGCAGAAACTTGAGGTGCCGCTCCATCGCCTGCCGCTCGTCTGCCGGGGCGCTGGAGTACGCGCGCGGCAGGCTTTGCTCCAGCAGGCGGACGTTGACGGTGCGAAAGCGGCTAAAGAGCGTCTTCGCGGCGGTGCGCTCGCAGAACTTGATGCCCTCGAGGAGCTGCTGGTACAGGTAGAGGTGGGCGTCAAAGAGGCCGCCGCCGAGCTTCGTCAAAAAGACAGCCGAGACACCGAGGCTGCCAACGAGGGTGGAGACGGTCATCACCTTCACGACGGTGCTTAGCGGCTCGTAGGTGAGGGTCACGGTTCGGCTGCGGCCCGTGCGGATCCCCATGTGGTTTGTCACGGGCGTCCCCACGAGCTTGGCGTCGGCGAAGATGTCCAGCAGCCGCTTCGTCTTGAGGTGGCTGTACTGCTCCGTGGACATGATGCGGGGGTAGCCCATGCGGGCCACGTCCTCCACGTCGAGGAAGAGGATGACCGGGTTGATTTTGTACTTTGGCATCCCCGTGATCTCCGCCTCCGCGAAGTCGTCGATGAGCTTCTGGTGCACGTCGAGCTCCAGCGTCATGCAGGCGACGGAGCCCACACCCACCGTTTGCGTGGGGGAAAAATCCGGGCGTATCCGCATGGGGTGCATCGGGATGGAGAAGGCAACGGAGGCGTCGGCGTCAAAGTAGCGCAGCTCGCCGAAGAGCTCCTGCTGCTCCTTCAGCACCGTGGACGACATCTCCTCGTACGCCACGTCCTGGTCCACGGCGAACTTGTCTGGGTTGGTGTACTGCGGCAGGAAGTTCTTCGCCACGTACCCCTCCAGCTCCTCCTCCTCCCCGCACCGCACGGTGCAGAGGTAGCCACGCTGGTTGATGATCGTCCCAATCGCGTACACCGCGTCCTTCATCAGCTGCGACTTGACGGAGACGTGGTAGCGGAATTGGAAGCTGCGCTGGCCGCCCAGCCGGTGCGGGCAACGCAGCTTGTCCCCCACGCGCAGGTGCAGCAGGTCGGTGCAGCCGTCAACGGAGACGACGTGGGGGTCGGAGAGAACGTGCTGCACGCTGCGGACGCAGTACGCCGCCAGCGTCATGTCCGGCGGGATGTGCGAGTACATGATGGACACCCGCTTTGGAATCTCCGTCCAGAGCTCGTTGTTCGGCTTCATCACGGCGCTGAGGTCGGTGTACTGCAGCGCCGGCATCATGGGGCAGTGCTTCACGTCGCGGTCCAGCCGGTTGAGCTGCTCAAAGTCGCGTGGGTCAATAAAGGTGCTCTCCCACTGCGGCGAGAGCTGCATCACCACCCGCGCCGCCTGGTGGACGAAGGTGAGGGAGAAGTTCCACTCGCGGCGCATCCCGACCACCGTGTCCCGCCGCCCCTGCGGCTCAAAGACCTCCGAGACGGAGAGCGACATGCCTATGCGTGCACCCTCTCGCCCTCTCTACCTATCCCCTACCGCTGCCTCTCTGTTCCTCCCCTCTCCTTCTCTCCTTCTCTCCTTCTCTCTGTGCCTCTCTCTGTCTGTGTCTCTGTCTGTCTGTGCGTGTGTGCGGCCCCGGCGCAGGCAGCCGGGGGAGTATCGCAGCGGCGCGGGAAGCCGTCGGGCCCTACTTTTTTTTTCCCCCGCCCGCAGGAAAAGAC